AAAGGGATTTCAGGCTTGGCCTGAAGTGTGCCATTGCATGTGTAATTGAGAAAAGCATTTTTGGGCCTGACAAGTGTTAAAGCCATGGGAGAAACTGGACTGTGACCTACCTGTAGTAGAAGGTGTTACCTCTCGTGTTTTGTATCTGTCATCATTGTCAGTCTTGCTCTGGCATATTATGAATAAGAAGGGTATAACAAATAAAACGCTTCCTAGCAATTCTTTGTGGCCCATGTAAAATAATGGTGGATTCATACATCTGTCTCAGCATATCAAGTAATTCAGTGCTTGGTCTCATTTCTCAGAGCTGTATGTAAGATTTTTAAAGCTCATTATTAAAGTATGTAGTCCTACACCAGATGTGGTTTTGTGTGCTCGGTGCATTGCGCCACACCTGTTCTGTTGGTGCTGTTCGGTTCCTTGCCTTTTTGTGGCATCCCTAAAGGCAAAACTCTACTGGTACATCCAGGGATGGCACTGGTTAACATTGCAGTGCAGCTAACACAGCAACAAACACGTCGTTTTCTCATCCAGAGTAGCTCTTGTTCCCATGAACTGTTCCATTAGATTCGTTAAATTCATTATGGGTGTGACCACTGAAGGCAGTTTGTGTTTAAGTGGAAGGGAGAAGCTTTTTGAGATAGCCATTCAGAGGAGTGAAGAATAATTTTTCAATCACAAAAGTAGTGGCAATTTAGGTAGGAATTCCATTTCGGATTTGGCTAAGATACCAAACCTAACACTTCTGCTCTAGGGGAAACTCTTGAGAGATCTGTAAAAACCACAAGTGGTCAGGACCTTGGTTTTACATCTCATTAATAACCAAGAGCGTGTATAACCATAAGTTATTAGCAGCTGACATAGGATTTTTCATGCTTTAAAAAAAAAAAAAGTGGTCTGTCACTTTTTAACCTGTTCCAAGTAAAATACACTACTGAAATAAAGAATTTGCTCCTAATTTCATAATGAAACTGACAATACTCTTGCTGGTGTAAATCAGGTGTAACAACATAGAAATTTGTGGATTAAGATAATTGAAATGCTTAGTCAGGTCCATTTTGTGTCTGGCAACTGCTTAACTATTAAGCAAAGAATTCTTAAATATAATTCCATCCATCACAGATGGACAAATATGTAGATAACTGAGCAAAATTTGCAGGGCAGTAACTTCAGGCATAAAGACTGTGGACTGGAATGGCTAGGTCTATGTTCTTGGACACGCATCTCTGATGAACTGCAGGTGGAAAGGATGCTGTTCTCTCACAAAATTGTAACCTTCTCATGCTTTCTTTCCATCCTGTCCCACCCTGAGAAATGCTTAGGTGTGCCTGAGATCACTCTGAGATGCTTTTAGGTGTACAGACTTGCTCACAGGTAGTGTTGCCTTTTTTCTTTTATTCATCCAGACTCTGAAACTACTTTTGTCCATGTCACTTTGGTTTTTAGCATAGATGCAGACTGGATCCCAGAATCCTTGAATTTCAGGAAAGTTCAGATACAGTTCAGAAATTTCTCAGGATCCAAACTCTGCTACTTGACTGTAGATTTCTGCTAGTAGTTTCTTCCATGCTGGCTGAATCTTGGCCAGAGACTGTGTGTGTCTGTGGGCAGTGCGTGCTGTTCTGGGAGTTAGAGCCAGAAAGAACCGCAGGTTCTGCTTGTGTGCAGCAGTCTGAATTACAGCTCAACTTGTCTTTTATTGTGAGGGAAGTTAGGGAGAGAGTGGACTAATTTCTCATCAGTGTCATGAACTGGTTCTGAAGTGGTAGGTGCCATTGTATTCGGATTCCAAATTAATGTTAAAAGACCCGATTGAAAGTTTATTAAAAATTGCTGGCAAGGCTTCTGTTGATTTTGGAGGTACTGTTTCAAGCGTTAAGGAGTAAACCTGATTTCACTGTAGTTAACATGAGGATTTCTCCCGACTCCTGTAGGTTAGCTTTGCTCTGTAAACAGCACCCCAGGAGGGACAAGTCCCCTTTGCTGGGATTCCAAGGCTGTTCTCAGGCCTGACTGATACCTGAGTTGGCTGCAAGGTCTCTCTGGCTGCTGGAGGCTGCTGCTGCCAAGAAAAATAGAGGTTTGCATGCTTATTGCTGGGATTGCTCATGCATGCCATAGTAATTAAATAATAATACCACAAGGATGGAACATTCATTTTAACTGTCAATCATCCTTGTGCTGGAGAAACTGGGGAGTGCCATGACTGTCTTGTAGAGGGATTTGTAATTTAAGCAAACCACTGGAGAGGTACGGGATTTTTTTTTTTTTTTTTTTTTTTTTAAACTTCAGGAGTTTTTCATTTACTTTTCTGGGATGTGCCATCTGGATTTCTTTTTTCTCCCTGACAAGATGTCTGCTCTGGCCTGTTTCTTCACAGCTGGAGCTCCAGAAGGGCTGAGGACATCTGTTTGTCTTCACAGTTGATGGTCAGAGTCTGCCCATGATTGCTGGCTTCTGCTTGTAGCTGGCCTGTTTCCTCATTTTTGCAGTGGAGGGGAGTTTATGCCTCTCTTGCAGCCTGGTGGAAACCAGGAATATTTGAATAGTCTCTTCCACATCTGCAGCAAATGCTGCATCCCAGTTCCGAAGACTCTGGTCTTGTTTGCTATGTTCCGGAGACTGCACTTCTGAGTTCCTGCCACATAAGCCAGCCCTTTTTGAAGGATGAACTGATTCTATTTTCCTTCTCTCTGCAACCCAACTGGTCTTTTGCTGGCTTCTGTTACAGCACTGAGGGAATACTCCATCCTGCCTGAGTTGGGTGCTTCTATTAATAAGTTGCTTCCTTCTGTTTTATGAACTGCACTGCAGTTTCTACCACAGACCTGTCAATCCCAGTCACTGGGACAAAAAGACATCTGCTTTCTTTGGGCAAAGCACGGGTAGGCTTTTACCTGCTTTACATTTATGAGCTTTGTAAACTTAAATGCTCATAAACACAGTCCGCTGCAGGTACGACCTCGTGTGTGGTGATGCTGCACCCATCCGTTTTCAGATGAAGTGGGGTAGGAAAGAACTAGCTTCTCCCATCAGAAATCATTAAATCTCCATGAAACTCTGATAAATATATTTCATGTTTGTTGTAGAAATAAGCTGCACCTCGTGTGCTGTTCTAAGGACTTTTGCAAACTTTATGAACGTTTGCCTCTGGACTTGATGTTTACACGTTATGATAGATGGAGAGGTTTGCACCAAAGGACCTTCTTGGCCTGTCTTTGACTTCTTTCTTATGCTTCGCAAAAATCTGCAGTCAAGCAATCTGTTGGAAGGTGATAATGTTTTAGTGAGGTGACTAATCTCACAATACCCGGGATTTCCTATGCTGCTCCATTTACATTAATTTCCAATGGAATTTCGGAAAGTCCTGGGTGTGGTAAGTAAAAAAGGCAAATAATAATTTAGCTAAAACAACCTACTATAACCCCTTGACTAAACACGCAATTTAAATGTGGTTATAAACATAAAAAGTCCGTTCAAGACTGATTTGGGTACAGAACTAATGAACTAGATTGTTATGAATAGTTTGTCTTGCTCTTGTTTGCAATACATGCTAAATTTGAGCATCGGGGGAGTGTGCATAACCATAACTCTGGCTCTGATTAATTACAGTAGAATGCATGAACGATATGGTGAAATGTCTCGCGATATCCTTGCTTTGGCTTAGAGCACAGATGCCAGCTACTCTGCAGCCATGTATCTGGAGGGGAGGATAAGTGGACTGCCTGAACAGAGCAATTCAATAGGAGTAGATCTTTCTGCGGGTTGTGTCTGAGCAGTAAATCACCTAAGATTATTTGCTGAATTGAGAAGATAGAGTTGGCTTCACAGAGTTTGAGATGTATGTTTAACAAATATCCTTGCTCAGCTCTCAACACATCTTATTTCTGGGGAGCTGCTCATATTCTGCTGGTTTGTAAATCATTTGTTGACCCAAGCTGTTTGAAATAAATAGTTGTGATCGCATCAGCTTAGAAATCTATGGACAAGTGCCTTGTACTACACCCATGTGCCTGGATGCATGCCGGAGAGAGAGCTTTCCAGGCTCTGCATCAGCTTAGAAGCACTGACATTCCTTATAACCTCAAGCTGGAACTCCAGCAGACTTCTAAGATTTAATTTTGAAACAATTTATGCTACATGGATTTTTCATAGCAGATTACACAAACTATGGTCTTTTCTCCTCAAAATGGGCTTGCCCTGATATTTCTAGCTAAAATTTGCAATCTTCTGTCCAATTCCTATTGCTCTTAGACGGTGACATATATTGCAGTTATTGGGACCTCGGCTCTACCTGCGTTCTAAAGGTTAATTGTTTTCTACATGCTTCTGCAGACTATTTGGTTAAAGGGAATATATGCTTATAAGTGGTACTAGAAACGTTGTTAAACTCAATATGGTTCTCTGAGAAGTGGCAAGTGCTTTAGGGAGCCAAGTGAGACAGGTAATGAGCAAACGTAAATATGTTTGCTGACTTGGCTGCATGGAAACACCTTACAAGGTCACTGTTACTGTAAGGCCACTGAGGGTAGAGCTACAGTGTCTGAGCTGTGGCAGAACTGTCTAGTGCTGTCAGACTAATAGGAGCTTAACACCCAGGGGCACACCCTTTTAGATCTGAAAAATGCACTGTTGACTGACTTTGCTTCTATGCTTTTTCCACACGCATCTTTTTTTCTTCCTCCTGATTGGTGATAGATAAATATTGATTTACCTAAACTTGTAATGGTCTAGGAATCATTTCAAATGTCACTGAACCCACTACTGCCTTGTGTTGCTTTCCTGCTGGAATTCTGATCTGTACCTGTTCTGTGTCACCAGGTGAAGAACCACCAAGTTTCTTAAATTAATTCCAAAAGTTTACAATAGGCATAGGGTGGGATTGTTGTTTGTTTGTTTTAAATATTTTAAGTGTTCATTGCATTCTGGCTTTTTCATTAATGGCTCTCAGTACTTAAGCATGGTTCATGAAACTTTGGGAGGGCTGGTGCTTTTATCATCACTGTGATGGACATTTGGGAGCCTGATGTGTCAACAGATTGGAACCTCCGTAGTCAACCGTTAATTGCTCTTTGCAAGAGCTTGGCAGGGTATTGGTAACCAATGATTTGTGGTGCCTTTTTTAAATTTAAAATTAGAAGTTCATTCCCGGCCTCGGATAAAAACAACAGGTATGGCTATTTGATCACTTACTTCTGGTTGTCTCTGGGAGGTGAGTTATGGGAACCCGGGAGTCCAATAGGAAGTGGACCCAAATTCGTAAAGACAGATCCTCTCTTCTGTCCAGACTTTGTTTAGAAGGGATCCAGAACTAGGCACTGTAATGTCAAAGCTTCTCTAGATAATTTCTCTATGGCTATGATATAGTTGCAGAACATAGGAATGGGCAAGGTAGTTAAATTTGCCAACGGACATCTTTTCTGCGATCAGACATGGACTTTGTTTTTCATTGTGAATTGTTTTTTTCTGTGTGCACATTTGTCACTCTACAGCCTGTGATTTGAAAGTTATGGAGCATTTCAAGGTTTTCTGTACATTTTAATCTCCCTGTATTGCTTGATAGATCCCACTGATAAATGTCAGATGCCAGTGGTGAACAATCTCTGGCATCTGGGCAGGTTTTCTTTGTGGGCACATATTAGGACTGTCAGAGGGCTGAGAGTCTCAGCAACTGGAGAAAGGTCTGAGGTACACTGGCTCCCAGCTCTTGGCTCTTACTGATTTCTTAAGCAAAGGGAGCTGGGAGGCCCTGCAGGTGATAGCATATTAAGTTATGAGAAGGCATTTTGATGTTTTAAAGGCAGCATTTTCTGGCTTTTTGGACATTTCTGCCAGCAAGCTTAGCCTGTAACTTATGAAGAAAAAAAGTCCCACTCTAATGGGACTCTTTGGAAGGCTGGTGTCTTCCATACACTGTGTCAGAACTCAGACTGAAATACTATCCTGCATTTGCAATGCTCCTGTAAATGAAGACAAAAAGTGGCATGGTACGGGATAATCCACACTGAATTGCTTGTTACGGAAGTGTGAAATCCCATTTTATCCCACCTTCAATGTCCTCCCAAATGCAGTACGTTTGGATCAAGGATGTGTTTTAGGCAGCAGACAACAGTCTGGTCTGGAAACTTTGCATTCTCTGAATCCATGTAGTGGCCAAAGAGATACAGTGATATCAGTCTTTGTTCTTGTTTCTCTTTAGATCCTAGAATCTCCAGATCCTCGAATCACAGATCCACGGCGGACCTGGATCTCCTTTGTTCACCGCCCAGATGATGGCAATACCTCTAAAAGGAGATGCAAAGGGAAAGACAAGAAATTAGTAGGTTATTGCTAGATTGCCATCAGCTAATAAATATGCACCGTGGCTTCCCTTCCTACTGCTGATATGCAAGGTGTTTTGTATGCTCCGGCTTTTGCCTTCCCACCCCAGAGAGTGCTGCATTTTCATTTGTTTGTGTTTAATTTCTCAAAGTATTTTGGAGAAGTTTGAGACAGTAAGTGCTATATGTTTTGTAAGATAAGGTATGTGAATTCCACTGTCAAAATTCGTTTTTGTTTAAACCAGCTATTTGTTGGACTGAGCCTTTTTTGGTTTTTTTTTTCTGCTCAGTAGAAATAAAATTAACATTCTTTTTCTTCCACTAGATAAAATCCAGGTATCTCAAAGGATATATTAATCAAGATTTGGACAAGTCGTTTATTTCAAATTAATGAATTACTGATCATCTGCTAAGTGATGCTTGATCGATCGTGTGTGCACTTTTAATCTGATGCTTAGACAATCTTGAATGCTTTTAATGATTTCCTTTTATTTCTCAGTGAGCTGATAGGCAGGAGTGCTTCCATGCAGGTTTACTGCAGTTTAGTGGAGGAAACAGGAGCTCCCTGGGAACAATATACATCAAAATAGCATTGAACTGTTGCATGTTCGTGCTACTAGTTTAAACTCTAATGTGTGTGGCTAGCTTTTACAGGTGTTTTGAATAAACTGTTCCATTTTTTTCTGAGAGTTCTACTGTTGCACCAAACATTCGTGTATGTGATCATTATGTCTGAGCAATATATATTAATAAACTAAAGTGTGGCTAGATGTCTATTCTAGTTAGTGAATAGGCAGACTAAGAAGCTTAAAAACTAGTCTGTTACTTTGGTGAGATGAGAAGATACAGAAGCGGCAAACTTAGTCTTGTGCCTGTTGTGCTTCACACTGTATATATGTACTTGAAGAACCAGTTAGTGTTTACCTGAGCAAATAAAGACGTGAGTAAATTCCAAGTGCTGGAATTCACAGCTGGCTGGAGAGTCAGTTAAGATTTACTGCATCAGGCCTGTAGTTGAACTGATAGTGGAGGGGGCTGCTCACGTGGCTGACAGGCCTGTAGAACTGGCTCATGGCTGAGAGAATTTTTGGTCTGTCAGTGCTATTGCCTGGTTCTAATTCTCATGTTTTTCTTTTGTTACTTCCTTAGCGTGGCCTTGTTGGGCCCCCAGGACCTCCTGGCCCCCAGGGACCTCCAGGAGCACCTGGTGCTGAAGTCACCCGGGAAGTCCTTCTGCAGGAGTTTAAGGAGATATTAAAAGGTAAAGACTGTAAGAGCTTTGTGCTTTTGTGATCTGCTTCTTTTGGTAAGCACGATGGCAAATAAAGAACTGGCTTTGCAAACGTTTACCTTAAAGCATTCCCCTATCTGGCAATCAAAAATGTGAAAAAATGTTTCCCCAGTGCTGCTTAGTTTGAGTTGAAGAGTTGAGTGCAGAAGTCTAATTGCACAACTAATGGCTTCATAGACCAGGCTCTTAAACTAAGCCTTTATTTTCCTATACTTTTTCTTCTCAGAAGCCATTGAGCGTCGAGCATCCCTGGCTATTTCAGCCCATCCTAGCCAGCTGCCTCCACTCCTGCTCTCCTTGGAGGAAGCTTCACCCCACAGACGTGTAGAGGAGGCATTCCATTGCAAGCTAAAAGGACAAGTCATTGTAGATAAGAAGACCCTGGTAGAACTTCAGAACTTCCAGTCGGTGAGAAGGGATTACAGACTGAACCTGTGCAACTCCACAACAGCCATTGTGCGTAGATCAGCTATAGTTCCCCTAGCTGTAGGTGGCTCTGTAGATAAAGGTGTTTCCTGAAAGGGCAGACTAATCCCAGAAGCTCCTCTCAGGCTTGGATGCTATGAATATAGCACTACCTTTTTTGTGATTGACAGAAGTAGGGTCTCATATGGTGACTTCAGCACTGAAGCTGAACTGCAGTAAGATGGACACTTAGCTTTGAGTCCTTCCTGACAAGCCCAAGAGGCAAGCTTTCTTCCTCTCTTGCAGCCCTGCTGAATCTCATTATAGGTCTTACTGAAGTTCTAACAGGTCTGTGCAAGAGAAGGCTGTCTCACAGGTCCAAACAACAGTCAGTCTTTTTATTTCAGTTAATGATGGAGAAAGACTTGTCCATGTTTGGCATTAGTCTGAAGGATCTGTTCTTTTTTTTCAGCGCACACCCTGTTTGATTCCAGAGTAACGTTCAGATGTAGAAAAATGTCAGAGGCAGACAGAAGCCATTGGTTATAGGTTTGTGAGCCCAAATGAGAGCCATCATTTTGTTAGATGGGCCCATCCTGATGCTCAAATTCTTTACATAATGTTTTATAGAAGACTAATAAAAATTACCTATATAATTTCATTATAGTCATGTTATAATGACAAGCACACCATCATGGGATGCTGTAGGTCGTTATAAGCATGGTTACAAGCAAGCTGTTGAATTTGATATTAAAACTTCTGCTAACCATTTCTGAACCAGTTGCAAATAGGATCTGAATTTGAAGTATAAATGTTAAGCAAAGTAATAGCTAAAAACAAATAGTTAATTGGTAATTGAGAAGATTTATTTTAGACTTTGGAGTCACAAAGACTGTCTAATAGCACAAGGCCTTCAGATACATGGTTGCTTTTGTGATGTGACAAGAAGAGTTTGAAGAGTATGAACAGGGAATATGGCTTTCCGTCAGCAGGGTTTGCTAACACTGTCCATGTGGTAAGGTGCTAAGCTTTCTTCCCAGCTGCACTGAGTCCCATTTCTGAAGAATCCTGTCCAGCAGATCCTTTCCTATGGAGTAGTTTTGCTGCTAGTAGTTTTAGCTGCAGGACTAGAGGCAGTGGTTACGTTCTAAATAGGGTGCTTTCCTGGATCTTTCCCAAATACACTTGTGGAAGCTTGGTTTGACAGCACTGTGGGTGCTGGCACAGAGGCAAGATTGTACTTGAAGTGTGGGCAGGGCTAGAGAGATCTGCTGCCTCATTAATTAGGAGGGAAAATGTGAATAAAGACATCTCAGCAATCAGTGTGTAGGCTGATGCTTCCCATGCTTTGTTATCATATGCCTAGCTTCTTTCTAATTGCTTCTGGCCCTGAAGCTGATGTGGGAGGGCTGGCAGGCCTCTGGATGCCAGCCTTTCATTTCAGCTTTGGGACAAGAAGTGTCTGGTTTCAGCTTGTGCTCTGATATAGGGGAATTTAGCAGGGAGGGAGACAGTGGATGCTCTTGCAAAGATGAAAACTTTGTTTTTAAACAGTCCAAGGGGGAGAGAGTGAGAATTCCCCTCCCTCTGTTCTGTCAGTTTAATAGTGTGAAGAAGGCAACAGTTTGATACTTCTCAGTGAGATAATAGGGATTGACTAATTCCTGGATTTGGACCTTACCCAAAGCATTTTGAGATAGTGGAAAGAACCTGTGCTGAGAAACGGCCTATTACTTCTATGCTCTGCCATTTGAGTATGATGTCTAAGTTACTCTGACCTTGAGTATTGAGAAAGCATGATGGTTTTCTCATCCTTCCATGCTAAATTTCCTCCAAGAACATTCCCTCCTCCTCTTCCTTTTGGTCTCAAAAGTTCCTTGGTATCTGGAATGAAACATGTGATACTCCTTTCCCCACACCTCTTCCTCCTGTATCTCACACTTTGAGGCTTCTAACAATTGCCTCTTGCAAAAGCTTTAGGAAAGGCGGTTTACACAGCAAGACTTGAAGTAACTGCAGCCTCTGACAGGCCATGAAAGTGGGATTTATCTGGGGCCCAGGAATATCACTGGAATCAGATCACTTAAGGCTAAGGTGGCGCACGTGCTTTTCATGGTGAAAGATCCCAGAAGGAGTACTGGTGTCTCTGGTGCCTTGAAGTTGAGCTAAACGTCTACCTATCGCAGTTGAATTTTATTGCTGCTTCAGGAGATTGGTGTATCCCCTGTGTGTTTTGGTTCCTGTGCAGGCTGGGTTATCCTTTTCTTCAATAACAGATAAGTCAATGCATTGCTTTCCACAGTGTTTATCACTGAAAAGCTAAACTGGCAGTTCACATCTCAATCCTCTCTGTGCATGGTTCCTATTTTCCACCCAGAAGTAAACTATGGAGTGAATGAGGAAGACGTGGGGATAGGAGATGAACTGAGGAAGAGAAGCTGACCTTGGTTTGTACAGAGTGGCTGGACACTAACTTGTTTGTTTGCTTTTGGTCTGCTAACTGAAATAACTGTGTGCAAGTAGTTAGTTTCTCAGATATAAATCGCTGCACTGTTTGAAGCAGCTAGGTGAGTATGCTGCTGTGAGGCAGCAAATGCAGCAGGGAGCTCTAATTGGTATGGGATTTAATGGAATATTTTGCCCAGAGAACCTCTCCCTGCATTGTCTATTTCTATGAGCAAAAGAATAACAAAGCCACAGAGGGCATGAAGAAACAGGAATGTTTTATCAGTGATAATTTACTGGTGCCTAAAATTGCCTTCCATGCCAGTGGTTTTGGAATTATGTTGCTGATTCTGCTAATAGCTGTAACAAGAAAGGAATGAATTAACTATGCAGTATAGTTTTGCACATACAGGGCTTGGATCTGCTCTTTCAAGTGAGGTAAATCAAAAATAGCATTATCAAAAATGGTGGCGTGGTGATAGCATAAGAATGGAATCAATCTCCTTCCATAGTCTTTGTTGTTAGGTTAGCTGTTATATTGTCCGTGTGTGTGTACATAAAGAAAATAGAGCTCCTTTTGTGTGTAAGTATGTGCACATAGGCACACATCAGTGCATATATAGAGACTTAAAAATCATTGTATGAAACATAGTTGTTCTGCAGTTCATTATTACTGTTTTCCCATTATACATATGTAATCTTATGAGAAATGCCACTGCTGTTACACATGGGTATATTTTCACCACCATATGCATACATAAAATATTTCTAGTAAAGTTCTGTGAAATTTAAGACTACGGCTAGATCTTGGTAAATAAGGACTGGGAATTACTCTTTTGTGAGCCTTGCCTGGGATTTGCTGAATGAAGGCAGGTTAGTCATTTCATTCCTTCTACCGGGTAGTAACTCTCTAGACAAACACAACCGGACACAAATATTTGCAGCCTTACTTCCTTTGAAAGAGAAAGCTAAATAAATTATTCCCACCCTGCACTGTGAAAGCTGGCAATTTCTGCCTGTGATGAACCAGAATGGGGAGGCAATTAACTTCCTTCTGGTACTTGAACAGAGGTATTTCACTACTTTTTTTTAGTGTAATAGCACCTGTGGCCACACTGCTACAAATTTGTTCACCATGTCTCAGGCCCCTTTCGCCATCTAGTATTGGAAAGCATACGCAAATGTTGGGTTGTTGGGATCACTCAGTTATGCATTTGTGCATGTTTTAGGGATATAGCAGCGTGCGTGCCTTTACAGAGTCAGATTTGAACAGCTCTTCTGTCCCGTAAGACCAATGCGGGGCAAATCTGTCAGGACAGCATTCATGGGAATGTGTTCACATTGCACAGAATGCCCTTGTGGTGGAAGCAGAGTCTGACTAATGTGCTTTCTTGGCCCACTGAAGCCACTCCTGCTTCTCCCCAGCTCTAGCCAAATTCATATGAGGCAGGCCAAAACAAACAATAAACATTTCTCGCAGAGTTTATTTTGGTCTGAGTCAGATAATCTGCTGAGAGTTTGACTTAAGACTGCTTCCTTGCCATGAGGAGAAGCTGCATGCTATTTTACTAGGGTTTTGCCTATACTGTAGAATCCAAGACTAGAACAAAATGAAACTAAATACAGAACCTGTAAGAATCCAAGCAGTTGTTCTTTAACAGTATCAAAGCTGTCTGACTTAGACCTAAAGTGGGTAGAAAACCTCTGGAGACCCATACGACTGTTTCCTCTGTCCTTGTATCACAAAAACAGTGTATAAGGTTCCAGGTTTTTAAGCCTGGGGACACTGCTTGGCCTCATCTACGAAGTCTTTGGGAGTAGGAGAGACCTCTTGACTCAAATAATGGGAGATCTTGTGTATCAGAACATCAGCGGAGCTAGAGGCCACTCAGACCAGCAGAGCATAGGGGTGCAGTAAGCACAGTCTGAGTCAAGATGAGTTAGAAGAGTTCGTCAGTGAGCAAAAAGGGCATCTTCATGTCTGATACTGATCATTTCGCCTTTTGTGGGCATCAAATGCTGAGAGCGAACCCATTTGGAAGGTGTGTTCTGGGGAGATAAGGCAGTAGCCTTGCAAATTTTTTCAGCTTTGTTCTCATGCACATAAGCTTGTGCTTGTTCTTTGTCACGGGCAGAGGTAATTGTTGAGAATGCTAGGGACTTGTTCAGGGTCTGCTTTTCTTATCTTACAGCCTCTGGCCAAAGGAGCTTTTCTCCGGGGGACAGGATTAAATCTGGCAACAGGACGTTTCACAGCACCTGTGTCTGGCATCTACCAGTTTTCAGCCAATGTCCACATTGGTGAGTGTTGTCCTCAGAAACCTCTTCTGTACTGCTTGAGAGGTGCAGGAGGGAGTCCTGGAGAACTCTCTGGGTCCTGTTTGATTTGAAGCATGTGCAATGGCATCCCTTTGCAGTGAGCTTTCTTTTTGGTACCACGACCCAAAACCCTGTCCTTTCACAGACTGATAGCCACAGCAGGCTGCTCCATGCAAACCAAACAAATCAACACTCCTTATGGAGGATGAGTTTAGGGACCAAATATATTCATGTGCAGAAGTTATGGCTTCCATAAAAGACTTTAGAAGAAATGAGCATGATGATATAGAACTGCATCAAGGCAGTTTTGACTGTGTTTTGTCACCAATGCATTAGTTCAATGGTTTTAATCATTCAGTGATGAAGTATTTTATAATCCAACACCAGAAGGGTGCTTTCCTAAGAAGTTGTGATGGGTTGACCCTGGCTGGACGCTAAGTGCCCACCGAAGCCACTCTATCACTCCCTCCGCAGCTGGGCAGGGGAGAGAAAATGTAACAAAAGGCTCGTAGGTCAAGATAAGGACAGGGAGAGATCACTCACCAATTACTGTCACGGGTAAAACAGACTCTATTTGGGGGAAAAATTAATTTAATTTATTGCCAATCAAATCAGAGTACGATAATGAGAAATTAAACTAAAATCTTAAAACACCTTCCCCCACCCCTCACTTCTTCCTGTGCATAACTTTACTCACGATTTTCTCTACCTTCTCCCCCCCAGCGGCACAGGGGGACGGGGGAATGGGGGTTGTGGTCAGTTCATCACATGTTGTCTCTGCCACTCCTTCCTCCTCAGGGGGAGGACTCCTCACACTCTTCCCCTGCTCCAGCGTGGGGTCCCTC